CGTCGCTTCGAATTTTTGTAACACGTTATATTAGTTTAATACAGAGTATTGTGATACATAGTAAGTTCCAGGATAGCTGAGAATAATCCCAGTTTGGAAGTTATAGTCTCTGAAAACGCACCAGCAAACCGCCCTGAGTGATTCACTCAGGGGTTCCTCCACACAAAAGGATAGGCTCGCGTTGTAACCCTATCCTGTGTTTGGGTTACATGATTGTATCTACTGTCAACTGACCTCGCTCGCTTCACTCGTTCATTTTCTAACGGTGACTGACCGGATGCACATATGGATAATATTTCTCTGTGTTCCAGTATTTCTATGGCAGGAACAGGAATTGTTATTCGCTTGCAATCAGAGCTGTCCACAAGGCACTGGATCGGGCGCGTGTGACTCGAGTAGCGCAAGGAAGTGACGCGCGGCAGGTGAGTGTGTTATTACTGTTAATTTGCACGCGTTGAATTAATGAACAGTAAACACTGGATCAACCCCTCCTCTTTCAATATCCCAAGAGTCATCTATACATTAGGACCCCGTATCTCAATGTCGAGCCTAGTATTAATAAGTGACATATTTATTTTTCAAGGATGTACATATACTCCCTACAGATGCTACATAGTACATGGTCTCATTACTATAGAGATCAGCGTGTATCGCCATTAGGAGTATATGTCAATGAACATTGAAGATGTCGCCTAAACGTTAGAGTAACATTATAATTATAGGGATATGGTCCAGGATTGAAAATTAACCCTCTACTTGTCTCTATAAGCTGAAACCAGCCTTAGTGCAAGTATGCTAAGCATGCAATATTTCTGTGTAGATTAAATATTTTAAACGTGATGCAATCACTGATCGAATACTATGTTAAAATGCACGCCCGTGGTAGTACGACATATTACGCAATCCACAAGAATGGTCATGATTAAGAAATTATGAGAAATCAATCGATTACTCAATCAGTAATGTGAAAAAAAATCAATGTGCATATTTTTGGTTTCAGCTGGCCATCACTAGAATTCATTCAGCTGCGCTGGAACATGGAATGGAGTACCGCATCTTCATATCAAGTTTAAACAAGGTTCATACAAAATCATTGCTATCATATCTTTATTGTTATACTCCCAATAGATGCTGATTTCATCGATACTGGGAGTGGTATATAGATCTTATATAATATATAGGTCCATAAAGACTCGGACGTATATATGATCAGAAGTAGATATAATAGGGAAGGAGTGTGACTTCAATAAACAAGGGAAATTCGTCATTTACTAGCCTTAGAATACCTATGATTTACTACGCGTAACTCAACCAACTTGAGCTCAAATCGTACACAGTACATTCGCCTAGCATCTTGCGAAATCGTTTCCTCGTATACACCCGCAATCCGGAGATACAGACTAAAACGTACAACACGATTCTCCATTCTGTTGCCTTGAAACAATAGGCAGCTACTA